TTTAACATCGGTATCGATATCGGTTATCGGCTACATGAGTTTTAAAATATCAGCATATCGGCCAAAATCCCAATATCGTGCATCTCTAGTTTTTCTCCTAAAATGAAAATTCCAGTTGAGTTTGTTGTTAGAAGAGGAAATAATGTACAGTTTGGTCTAAATAGATCCTGGATCCAGTAGATCTGCTGCCTGACGATCTCAGTTACATGGACTCATGTGAGACTTTAGTCAGACAACAATGCCCCTAACAGCCCCCCATTCAGGAGCATAGACCAGTATCGGGTATTGCAGGCTAACAAAGACCTCAACGACTCCCCATTGCTAAGGGGCGGATCTGTTTTTCCAGATCAATTTGCATGTTTTCTAAGCCAAAACAAGGCTTTGTTGGGCTACTCCATAAAGCTCGTAACTCAACTCTAATTCTGACACTTTGAATTGATAAAACTTCCTGGATGGGAAGCTAAATGTCTTCAAACTTGGAAAACAAAGTCCAGTGGATTGTTGTTGTTTTTTTTTATTCTGAAAAAGTTTATCAATAGACAGGTTTCAGGTATTACAAGTGACAATCCCCCCTTTAAGGACTGAGCTTTCACAATCATAGCCAGGTTTCAGACATTACAGGCTAACAATGGAACCAAACGACCCCCTCCTCAGGTTTATTTTGCATGTTTCCAAGCAGTACATGGCCTTGTTTTCGCTCCACTATATAAAGCCTCAAACTCAAAGCGAATCAAGACATTTTAATTGAGAAAGCGTCCTGGATGGGAAGCGAAACATCTTCCAACCTTGGAAACAAATTCCAGTGGATTGTTTTTTTTTTTTTTACTTTTTCATAATGACTATGACCTGGATGACTGAGAATCTTCACCAGCATTTTTTTCTCCAGATATTAAACCTTTTCCATTCAGGGTGAAAACCACTCCGATAAAGATCTGCAGCCTCCTACTGATAACTCTGCTTCAGAACAAAGAAAGCAGAGCAATCATCTTTAGGTCTTACCATGAAAATGTAGTTTGTGTCTGGAACTTGACCCCCAGTCCTGAAGAGTTCACATAGATCATAAAACTGGAACCAAAAACATTAAACACATGGTTTTATTTTTCTTTAAGAGGCACATAAAGGTTAGTAAACTCTGAACCAACAGATCATTTTCTCACACCCACCTGACCATGAATATCTCCACAGACTGTAACCGGTGTGGCTACAGGCTGAACGTTAGATTCCTCCAGCAGCAGATCACACACATAGTCGCATAACCTCTGTAACACAAACAGGTAGATGGGATTATAATCTGGCACAAATACATCCTCATGATCAAACCAGGAAGCTGCAGCAAGGTGGTCAGTTGGGTTCCAGCTACTTAAGGGCAAATTTAAAGCTGGTAAGATTTCCTTCTGCAGAATTTTGGTTCCGTCTCGGCCCACTGTAGCATTCAAACCTGCTAGCTGTCCGTAAGTGTTTTAAGTCGGACATACAACAGCAAAGGAATATTTAAGCATTTTGAAAATGTTCTACATGTAAAATGTTATGTTGTTGAGATGACTGTAAAAGCCCGTTATTGTAATTTCGTTTGATTTACTTATTATTTTGTGATTAACCTAATTTTATTTGAATTAAGTCTGTATTTTATAAAGCATGTTCACTTTATTTTCACAGTACATCTTTATTTTTGTCCTATGTTTGAGAAAAAAATTAAGTTTGCAGAGTACTTTGACGTACTGTCTCCGCCTCAAGCTTCTTTTCAGAACGCACGGCTTTACGATCAACTGGAAGCAGTTCCACGCAAATATATCACGATTAGGGATGCACTAAATTGGGATTTTGGCCGATATC